AGTAGTTCTTCTAATTATGTGTCTCAGACAGCTAGGCTGAAAACTGGGGGGATTTTTTATTGGTTGTTTTTACTCATTAGAGCTGGAAACAACTACTGTTGCATGTTTGTAGTGATGGATGRGAAATAATAACTTATGTAATACAACTTGTGGGTGTTTTTTATAGCCTCCAGTGTGATTTCATGGAGAGCCTCCTGAGGCAAAGCAACAACTGATGGGRTGTGAGTTCTGTAGAGGTGGTTCCCATGTGGTCTCTCTATTCCACWTTGTTTAGGGACATTGAGTTTTAGTGCAGTTGCTTTTAAACTCTATGGAGGGGAAAAAAATAAATCGGTGAAATGGTAATGTTAAGGGCCCTGCAATGATACTACAAAAGAGATTGTGTGGTTAAATATTACCAAAGGGTTTATGTAAGATATTTTTGAGACATCTCTCTGTAGTGTTTTAAGAAAAACTGATGTGAATTCACAAAAAAAAAATACATTTCTTATGAGCATGAGTGCTTCTGAATTGGTCTGCAGCCTTGAGATGCAGTCATGATTGTGTAAGGAGACAGGATAAGATGTTCATTTCAATGAAATATCTGAGTTTCAGAATAACATTTTCCACAGCACTCTACAGCAGCGGGGAGGGACTGAGGTGGTCACAGTTGTCAAATTTGGCTTATGAGATRTTAATCTTGAATTTCTGCGTCTTCATTAATAGTCAATAAGCAAATGGRTTTTGGAACAGCTATGTTAATTTTAACTGGAGAGATTATTCTAAATGATGATTCTGGTAAATGTGGTAGGAAAGATTTGTTTAGAGGCAGTTTTCTCTAGATGAAATTTCTAATGCATAATCAACATGCCGGGGAGTTAAGTAATTCCTCATCTAAGAACAGAATAATGAATTAAAAAAAAAAAAAAACCTACTAGAAATTGGCAACAAACGGTTGCTCAAAGTTTAGTTAATCCCTGTTACATAGTTATTGTCTGTACCCAAGTACATGTAAGTTTTTTCATGGACAGAGGTTTTAACAGCTTAAGCATCTTCTTCAGAGGAGATGGCAGTAATGTTTGCAGATTCACTAAGACTTCACATTCTGGTGTTTGCACAGACAGCTGAGATCATAAATGCCAGTCTGTGTGATGGGTTCTTTGTGATGAGAAAGAAAATCTGAGTGCCTCAAAAGCTGTCAGGAAACCAGAGATTAAACCGATTCATCTTCTTGAAGCAAGCAGCAGCAGAAATTCTCTTTTTCTTACTATTCTCCCATCTCTTCCATCCTTCCTCCTTCCCTATTAAGTTTTCTTAGCCCACTTCTCTGTCGGGCCTAGAGCATCACACCCTCCTCCCAAATGCCGTGGAAGAGCCGTCATGAGTGTTAGTGAAGCCATCTGCATGCAGCCTGCAAACTCCTCCAAAAGAAGGAGAGTAAGGGAGTGGAAYTCAGCTCAGACACCATTTATTTGAAAAATTTTGAGGGGAGAACATGAGTAATGAAGATCAGAACAGTGACAGTGAGGAACAAATGTCTCTGTCCATGACATAATAGTATTAAGAACATGCTCTTCTTATTGATTCCAGACAAGCTTCCAGTTTCAGCCATGCTTAACTGAATTACTTCATTYTCTCATTTCAAATGGGAGTTTGATGCACAATTTCAGATCTCCATCATSAGATATCAGTTAGAAGAATCCTTGTTTCTTAACTTTGAATTAAAATTGCAGTGGGAGAGTGTCAATGGCAGTTACTCTGCTGAGAAGTTCCTTTCTGAGATTTTGGGGATTTCCCATCCTTATTGTTCATTTTTACAGAGAAGTTTTATGGAATTTTTCCTCTCAGATTGGATATTTGTTGGTTTAGGTGTAATGCTAAAATGCAGTTTGAGCATGGAAAATGTTTCTCGGATGTAATCGTTGTTGAACGAACCACCCTTCTGAGGAAAGCACTGGCAGTCACTGACTGAGAGAATCCTCTTCTCTGYAGCCTTTTGTGGTTGTTTAAAGGTTCTTGCTGGGAATTTTTCCTTGATTCTAGTTGCAGCACTTCAGCCTCTTCCTCAGGGYTTTTTTTCAGCTGCACTCCATGTAGTAAAGCTATGTGTGACAATTTCATTTTGCTGTCAGATCTTTGAACTTTAATGTTGCAAGATTCTAGGTGCTGGAAGATATATTTTGTGTCCTGTGTTGCTTGTGTCAGTATTGTGAAAAACAACAYGATCTGGAAGAAATGCACACAGGACTGAATCTAAAAGGTATAATTGCTGCTCTGTGCTTTCTCCTTGCTTGTTGTACTTGTCCATGGAAGATGGAAGTGTGTGTGCTGTGGGTCTGGTTTGTGGTGAGTATTAGCTTAGGCTCATGTGTTCAAGGATGCTGGGCAGTCAGTGATCAGAGAGGTAGTGCTGTCACTGAGAGCCAGGCTGAGTTTACCTCAGTGCTAAGTGTTATAGTTTATGGCAGAAAGATACACGCTGTAAAAAATGAGATATCTATAATTCCTATAATATTGACCGACTCATATTCATATTCAATTAGTCATTACCAATTTATAGGAAGTGTGTAATGCTTTCATTTGTAGTACTGCTAGCCTGACTTGAGGCAACGATTTTTCTCATTAAGGCATGTGGTTTCATTAACTTATTATACGTTTGTTGACTCATACCATGCATCTCTTATTTTGCCTTCAGTATCAGCAGACCACTATGGTTTCCCTCAGCTKAATTCAGAATGCCAAATTTGCTTCTGAGAGCTACCAGAATGGCTTATGTTTCCAGAAGCAAAGATTGCGGGAGGCAGCTGTTCCATAATGGCAGTGTATCTGTTCCTTTGAGTGATGGATAAACTGCGGATGATGGGCAGCAAGGGGGGCTGGAGCAGATTTTACTGAACATTGAGTCAGCCACGTCACAGTATGGAATCTGCCTGTTGGAGGGGGCATCCTTATACACCAGCCTGGTGTTCTGGGCACCATGGAATAGGACTGTTTGCCTTGGAGTATGAATTGAGATCTCTGTTCAGAGAGTCAGGCAGTCTAGTCTGTTCAGAGGATCTTTGCCTTGCATCATTTTCTCCAGAGATTTAATTGAAGACAGGACTGGTTGTTCCATAATTGTATTAATGCGTTATGCACTACTTTCTGTGCCTTATCGAGGCTCCTACATAGCCAAAGATGCAGAGGTGGAGTATACTGAGTACTGAATGTTAGTTTAGGCCCTAATATATGTATTTTGTAAGGTATAAATTGTAATCTGTGACATTGATCAAAAAGGTGGCTTTCTTGAGGCACACATCAGATAAAATCATTGCAGCTTAATAAAAACTTATCACCTATATACAGTGCAGAAAGCAGTTCACTCTTCTGTGAAATGTGAGATAGGGAGGCTTTGTACTTGTTGTAAAGCCAGGCACATTTTCAGCATATCTTAAGAGCAGTATGGCAGAAATAAAGTAGGCCCCTGTGCGGTAAGGTGTATATTTGAAATGGCTGTAATACTGGAGTATAACAGTAGGAAAAACACTGTGACACAAGGGCTGAAACACAGGTGAGAAAAGTGAATTAGTCTGTATTGCATATGAGGAAACAGRGGAAGAGCATTCCCAAAGGGAGAAGCTACCAGGTAACCCTGGTCCGACTTCTTTAGGTATTTACTCAAGGAATGTTGATAAGCAGTGGCTGAGGTAAGATAGCTGACATAACAAGGTTATGGACAGTGTTGTATCCACAGCAGTTACCTTTTYCTGTCTAATCCTGGACAGCAGACATAAGCAATGGAATCTTAGAATAATGGTACAGACATGTTCAGATACCATCCTGCCAAAAAGATAGATTTAGCTTGTTAGTTGTTGGATTAATGCTGTTACAAAAGGAATTTAACTCAAGTAATGAGGTTTTTTTTCCTTGCCCACCATCATGCAGTAGAATACTGACTGATTGCAGTAATGTCTTTCAGCAGCTCCTTGCAGCACTACAACAAACAATTTAATTTTTAGTACAGTTGGGATTGGATTTATTTGCCGCTCCTATTACAAAGAAATACAGCACTGATTCTGCTGTGCACAGATTTGGGAAGGGAAAATGTCTTTTCTAARCTGACTTGGATTGCAAAGAAGCAAATTCAACGAAAAATGGGTGCTTCTGACATGCCACAAAAACAAGGCTTGTGCATCTCACATTCTCGTCAGTAATGTGCATTCCATGTGCTACTCTAGAACCCGGGTCAATACAGTCTCCATTGTAAAAAAAAAACTTAAAAAACAACAGGCAGTGCACTACCTGAAGTAAGACTGTTGTAAACTTTAACTTCTAAAGGCTTTCCACACACTATTTTCTGAGCTGAGATTTATGAAGTCATTAATGCAAATAATATTCTGACTAGTATTTAAAAAGAGCTGAGCATTTGGAATTTATAGGATGTATAYACAGATTGCACTTAGTTTGTTTGTATTGTTGGTGTATACTAATTTACATTTAAATTGTTATMCATGTGGAAAGAGAGGGAAGCACAGTATGGTGCTTTCATGTACCGCCTTCAGTCATGAGAAATACAATTTACATGCTGTGCCTTAAAAATCCCCTTCCTGCCCAGGGAGGAAACAGGTCAAACCTGTGCTCAGTTGTTTTTCATCACTTGAGTCAGTTTGTTTGGGGACACCGAAGGAGGTGACAGGAGAAACTAAATGAGATGACAGTTGAAGSCTGCAATTGTTCAGGATGGTGTGTGCTCTACATGTATCTCTATATGACCCAGGCGTGGCTGGAAGGAAACTAATCAGTTCATTTTATATTCTGTATTGACAGCAGGAGGGGTTCTTATATGCAACAAAGATACTTTGTCCTTTACTTGATGCTCATTTTGTTTGTTAGSAAAACATGTGTAGGCAATAGAATGGGAAGTATCACACCGCTTGGTGGTGACCCCAGCTGAAAGCAWTATACCTTCAGTCTGCCTAAAGGGATGCCTCAGAAAGGAAGGTCTAATATTTTTCCTAAAATATTTGTTGTGAATACAACAGATTCACAGTCGGAGAGTGAGGCTTCTCCTGTGAAACGGCCACGGCTACTGGATGACAGTAATGACAGGCCCGAAGAAACCAGTCGATCCAAACAGAAGAGTAGACGYCGATGCTTCCAGTGCCAAACAAAACTGGAACTAGTACAGCAGGAACTGGGATCATGTCGCTGTGGTGAGTACTGTTTGTCAGTAGCATCTGGCTTTCTAATGAAACCGTGCTCAGATCTGTGTCAGACACGGAAGTACAGAGAACACTGGCATTTTACACCTTTCTAAGATGCTTTAAACAGAAGCTATAGCTTCCACTGGTAGAAAAAAGTTATAATTAGTTCCTGTCTGATTTCCCCTTTAAAACTTTGGCCTTGATGCACTGCCTTGTCTCAAGAGATATCAGATATTWATGAATTAAGCTTCAAAAGTCCCTGTAAGGTGGGAAAGGCATCATACCCACTTGATAGGAGAAGAAACAGCACATCAGTAAATATGCCAAGATGCGAAGGTTTCTATAGGGTGTAAAGGAACATAGGTCAGTATCTGTGTTCTGCATGTTATAATTACATTAATGTTAAAAACTTAAAACCAAAAAAACCCTCCAACTGAAAATATTTCCATTATTGTTCACCATAAACTTCAAATCATCTAACTTGGCTTTTCCAACGTTGATGACACTGTACATGTAATTGAATTGAGTATGATAATCCCATGCAGAYAGCTAATTTGTAGTTTCATATTAAATGCAAATAAACTTTCTGAAATAATAATTRATGTGACTAGATTCCAGAGGAGATGATCTCTTCTTCATGGAACAGTTGCATTCTTAACTGGTTTAAATGTGCTCATTARACCCAGTGGTAATGCATGTAGTAATTTTACCTGCTAATTATTTTTCCATATAATCATGTAATGAAGGTTGCATTGAACTCTCTGACAATGCTTGTATTGATACATTTGGAGAAGTTTGTTACTCTATTGTCTAGAGTTTAAAAAYTCTCTAGAAGTTTTTAGTTACTCTGTTGTCTCAGCTGGGAGATGATTTCCAAAGSATCTGCACAGATGATAGGTGCAATTCATGTTACACCTGTGAAATACAAAATACTGTGTTAAAACCATTTTCTGGAGAGAAGGCATGTCTTTCTGAGCAGCAGTGTGTAGAGGAAGGGTGGGCTAAACCAGTTACAAAGACCCAGTTAATCCTGTGCTGAATACCAAATACCAAGTGAAGAGAAGCMATAGAAAGCTGCAAAGATTTTGTGTTATCTTTTGTTCTCCTGTTCTCTTCTTCAGCCTCTGTCTTCAGCCTGTAGAGTTTAMTGTTGTATTGGGCCTTTTTGGACATGGGATAGGCTTTGTTTCAAATATTGGAGCACTGCCACAAAACTAACATACATTATCTGTGAAGCCACCAAACATGAAATCAAAAGCTGTAATGTTGAAATTCTTGTTATGGAAATCATGTGTCAGGATACTTTGAAGTGTCTGGTAAAWTTTTTATCAAGCTAAAGAAATTCAGGGCTATAAATGACACAGTTTGCTGTGGCTCTTTCTGCTCAGCATGGTAGAGGCAGGGCTTTCTGCTCTTGGTCTGCTGCTGTGATATATACAATGACTCAGGCTGCTCACAGGMACCTGACTGAAATAGCAGAATCCTTCCTAATATTGGGAGCAAGAGAGTTAGAATTTTGGGGAGGATTGGATGAATGATTGCTTAACCATCATTAATCTTTCCTGCATTCTGCAATATTGGGGCTATGTAAGAGCAATGAAGTTGAAAGCAACTTCTATGAAGCCCTTCTGTTGATCAGTAATGTTTTTTAAAGTATAAAATAAGACCTGCTTTTTTTTTTTCCTGAAAACTGGATTATAAATATATTTTGTTGGTTTCTCTCAAGTTTTCTTGAAGTGGATCCATAATTCAGTACTGTTGCAATGTAGCATTGTAGGAATTATTCTCTAAATTGTTTCTACTGGATATATRTAACTTTATGGAAATATTTCTTTGAAGATCATAAAACACATTAATAAAACATGAATGTGAAAAAAAATCCTAAGTTCCTCAGCAATAAGCGAGGAYATGAAAATTTGCATTTCTGTATTGTATCCTATACAGTTTATAGTTTGTATTACAAACATTTCTATTCCATACAATTAATGAGAATAGAAGACAGGAGTCTATTTACACGTTTACAACAGAGCTGAAAAATCTGGAAATCTTTGGTTTCTGTGCARTTAAAATGTTTCATTAATACTGTATTCAGTAAGGGTGTTTGGGCCATGCTCTCCTGTGATGTGAGTGTGGGCATACCCTGTGCTACTTACATTTAATTGTCAGATTAATAAGARGCAAACAAAATGCTGCCACTGAGCAACACAGGTTACCACAGCTTCACATCACCCAAACTGCTTTACCAATAATCAGCAGCACATGGCTCTGTCAGCTTTAAAGATGTTATCTAAGAAACCAATCTTACTAACTTGCCCTGCTATGTGTAAAGTTTAGGTCAACGACAAGCCCAATCAAAAACCTTGGGAAGAGGTGATGGGAAATGCAGTAGAACAAATACATTGATTTCTCATTCATTTAAARTATTTCCTAAATCCATCCATGATCGGGTTATCCTTTTCCATCCTAATGCAAAATACAGGTAACAATGCTTGTTCAGGTGGAGGTAGTGATGTAGAATCAACTGTGTAAAATAAGCACGTCCACTCTTCAAAAGTAATGGTGAAGGTAGAGCATTGTTTGATCTCAGCKTTGAACCACTGCTATTACATTCGTGGCATCTTAATCCTGAACTGAAGGRAAATGGGAAAAAATGCRGGAACCCTCYGCAGTTTTAAACATTAAGAGAAATCTGATACCAAGATCAATAAAAAAAGGCAGACACYRTCTTCAYTGCAAAGGYATGGGCTTGCTTGSATGTAAGGAAAAAGGATTTAAAGCATAAAAATGTTGCTCCAAAGCTGTGTCTGAAACAGTTTTGGTAAAATCCAAATTAACTCCACAGAGCAACAGTTTGTTTGCTGGTGCACATCTTGTCCTAATGTTAAGTACTGGAAATAATCTTACTTTTTGATGATTTGTCCTRGTGAGTTCTCCAGTGAGATTTTTAGTGAGACACAGTGGAAAGGAAAATATGGACATACTGAACAATGTTTTAATGTAGACATATCTGCAAATACTGATCCAGTTAACTGGGACTTCTCCAATAAGGCACACCTGTTTTTTGGAGAGGGGACAGAGAGTGTCTGGTGCTTTACACCARCTTGGAGGTCTTTGGGAAGCAGCTCCATTGGCTCTCCTGTAAGCCCTGTCCAGAGAGAGGTGATGCTGCAGAGCTCATTCCCTTGACACGACATGGAATTGTAGACAGATTTGACAGTGCTGCAGGGCTTTGCTGTGAAGATCAACAATTCACTACTGAGAAGGGAGTTCCAGCAATTCAAACACAACATTTTTCAGATGTAGAAAGATTTGTTTGTTTTCATACACACATACTCTCAAGATCTTTTTTCATTCTCTTCCGCTCTGTTCAAGTTATTAACTGCTGACAAGAAATTCACATCTCATAAATAATACTTAAGAGCCATTKCTATATAAATTGAATGTGTTATGAATTGTGATGGGCCTTTTTGTAGCATTCTACGCCCGGAGCAGGAAGAACAGAGGATGTAATTTTCATTAATTTCTAATGAGGTGCCAATTAAAGCTAAGGAAGGAACTCAGAAGGGAAGAGTCACAGAGMTCCCCTGAATCCTGTGCCCTGGGGCTGTCAAATGAGTGTGCTGCCAAGCCTCCCCTGAAAGTTCCAGTAAATCACAAACTCATCCAGAGCACACACAGACAAATTCGGCTTMCCTTTGATCTTCAAAAGAGCAATTTGTAAGACGAGTTCTGAGCCTTTTCACAYAGCAAACTGGGAGAAGTGATAGGAATTGTTAATTGCTGATGCACTTTGCAAGCTTCAGTGAGAAAGAGAAATTTTAAAATKAATTCTCATTTTGAGCCTCTGACAGGATAACCTTTACATCAATGCCACTAAACAAAATCAGCTTCCTGTGAACTGTTTGTAGGTGACAGTAGGTAGGCCGTGCAGACAGCAATGTTCTCTAGTTTGGGCTGGGTGTGCCTTCCAATAGTTTAGTGTCCTGATAGATAATKATTGTATTGAAATAAAGTGTTTATTTGATATTAGATTTAGGAGGTAGTTTTGCCATGAAAGAGTTGCAGGAATCATTCTTCAAGTTATGCTTGTTACAGCCTTTCTGTCAGCAGTCCAAAACCAATTCCCTGTGATTTTTGATCTGAAAAGGAAGCTGTGTCAGTGGTGTCATAACTGGGCGGTACCACAGACTTGCTTCAAAACTAGGGGCAGAGAATGTATGAGTGGAAGTAGCTATAAAAGATTGAGTTCTCTAAATGTATTKTAAAAAAGGCAGGTTGATTAGCTGCAAATTACACTATAAATTTCTAGGCCAGCTCTTAATTGCTTGACTGGATGTATGTTGCTATTAAATAAAGTTGTGTACAATTTTAAAAGATGCTGAGCTGTAAACTTCTAATCTATAGGAATTATTTCCACAAAAAGCAAAGCTTAATTTTATTAAAGAGATTTAAAATTTTACAGTAAAAAGTAGTTCTAGTACCACTTGATGTGTAAAGCCTAGACACAGAAGTCTGCCATCTTTTTGTTGGAATTTTGTGAGAGACATGCAGATATTCTAGATGATCAGTAAAGGAATTTTACATCTGTCATGTTTGATCCACTTCTAGTCAACAATKAAAGAAAAATTAGTATAGTGTGGCAGCTCTGCAGCAGCTTTGTGTAGAATGGTTTGCTGTTTGTAGGTCACATCCTGATGGGCATGTCTGTGCCTCAGGCTCCCCCTGTCTCYTGGCAGTCAGTGGGGTGACTGAGATAATGGGCCCTGGAAAGTCAGCCTGGCTTTAGCTTCCAGTGGAAGTGCCATAGAGAGAGCTTGCCCATTTGTTGKTGTGCTTCTCAGATGGGAATCTTCATGTTATTCATGCTCTTGGGCCAGAGTAGATAAGAGGACGGGAAGATGTTGAAACCTTCCGGCTTGATCACAGTTAAAAAATAAGTGCTCAGTCATGTTGCATTCTGATCAAACTGTTGTTAGCCATATCTCTTGCCTGTGTGGACATGAAAGATT